AAAAATGATAAAATTTTGGTTAGTCAGTGTTTCTAATGAAAATCTAGAATAAATGTACAATACACTCTGTTGTATATGGGCAAAGTATAAATGTACACTTTCTTTCCATAAACAATATGTACCATAATGTACAAAGTCATGTTTTCATTTAATATTTAAAAAATTAAAAACTATTCATATCCTATTAACTGCGTAAAAGGATATATTAATATTATATAAACAAATACAAAATAAGGAGAAAAGCAATTCGTGTTCGATTCATATAGAAAGATTGACCACACAATAGTACAACATTAGAATATCTCGTGAACATGAACTGCTACGATTTACTCTTTTTCAGAATCCAAAGTAATCCTAATCAATCAGAACTTTCATTTTTATTTTCATCATTATGCACATCAGCATAATTCGAACAAAATTAAATTAAATCTGTTGCAGTTTCCAATTTTATTCTGCAACGATTACATAAAAACTGAGGGAGGGCAACTGACATAAATCTGAAAAGGAAAATAGATACCAAACTCAGAAAAAAACTATGGCATTCAGCGAATGATCAAACAAATCAAAATAGATCAGTATCTATACATTATTCAAGCATAATTTTTGAATTGAAATAGTTTTTAAACTTGTTCTGTAAAGTGTACATTGTGTACTTTGCTTTCAGTGTACACTTACCATTGAAAAAACACCGTTGTTTGCATCAACGACACTTCCATTCTATTGGCTCGTCTCGTTCACTCAGTAGAAAATAAGTCGATAAAAAAACGAAAGAGGGCACACATTTTTGTATCTATTGAAGTAATAGATCAAAAAAGTAATTAACTCTAAGAGAGAAGATCTAATTAAGAGAGTGATGAGCTTAAGACTAGAATGATAGTTTCTTTTTTTTAATAAACGATAGCATTTCAGTCTAATTTATCTGAGAATTATAGTAGCTTATTCATCATTATCTTCTTTCAATGCTTTAAATATTCACAATTGCAAAGAACGAACTTCAACAGTAGAAAAAAACAATCGATTTTTGTCAAATAGTCGGTTTATTACATGTTCATCCAACCTTACATTACAACAAACATTGAATTTAATGATGTATTAGTATCAAGAACCAGACTCACATAAATTTATTGAACGAAATCTTAATATGTTAGGTAATGTTACAGTCATCGATTGGAAAAATATTATGCATGATTTATGTGCAGAATATTTTATTCATCATCGTGCTTATTATTGATGGCATTAGTCATGTAGCAAAATTGACGAAAGCGTCTGGATCAAACCAAAATATAATCGAGGTCGCCAAGTAGGTACTCAGTGAGTATCTGGAAGAATTGATCGGAATACTCGTGAATGTTTTGCTTTTCTTGTGAATCAATCGATGAGATGTGACGATATTGATACCGATTATTTAATACAATTTTTTCCCTTTTCTCTTATTACTACTACCAATCAAATCGGGGTGGGCGCTGTCGTTGTTGTGAAGAAATACCAATTTTTCAGGAACTTGTCTTAATTTTATTTTAATTGAACTTGAAATAAATATCAAATTTTTCGAATGAAAAAATGTTTCAAAACAAAATACATTATAATACCCATATTCTGAATATTTAAGTAAATAGAGTATTTGAATCCGTAGTAACATTCCGATGACATAGTCCAGTGGGTGGACATATGATGATCGGATCGAACAACGATGATAATTGGCTTAAAGACATGAGAGCGAGAGTGATGATGACACAAGGATTAATATTGACGAGTATCGATAAGGAAAAAAAGTCTTGATCACATCTTCTAAATAAGAACATTTCAATTGTACTATATGTTCAAAAATGTACAAGTGTTCTTTTCTATTATTGATTATCAATTTATGGTGTTTATCAACTATTGATACCAAACGACGAGGTTTGCTTTCAATATTATAATTAGATTAATTTGAATCTCAACTTATTTATTTTTCCAGCTACAGCTCAATCACAACATAATTTGGGTGATTTTTGTATGCCAGGTACATGTGCTAGTTTAAATTCTAATTGTAAACGTATTGGTGGTAATGCTTTTCGATGTGTTTGTAAAGAACAATATATGGCTATAAATAAAACTCATTGTGGTTTGTAAAAAGCAAACAAACAAACAAATTTTACTACAAATAAAATCTGTTTATCTTATAGTTAGAGTTATCAATGCATCCGTTGATAGTGCATGTGCATCATGCATTAAACGTAATGGTATCTGTTTGGATGAAAATTCTGATGATTATATGGATAAATGTTTTTGTCCAACTGAAAATGATTTATGTAATGATCGAACAACAACATATTTTCTAGCTGCCACACAATCTTTAAGGAAAAGGTAATGTTTTCTAATTTGGTATAATATTAAAGCATAAATAAAATACTTGTTTTGCTTCTTTTAGTATATTGGGTGTAACATCATCATCAACTAATCGAATTGTTAATCAAGGTGATCTTATACTTGGTCTATATGATGTAAATCAACAACGGTTAATTGACAATGGTGGTTCAGTTTTTATTGGTGATCGTTTATTTATTGAAATAAAATATCGAACAAGTTCGATTTATATATTTTTATTTGTTATTCATATTTATATGTTTTTCTTTGGTTTTCTTTTTAAAGATATTCATAATCCTGATCGTCATCAAATAATTGCAGAAAATTGTTCAATAGCTTCAAGTGTTTCTGATAATGATGCCAAATTAGAAAAAATTCAATTATTAACTAATCGTTGTCCATCGATTGATTCACGTTTATCAATACGTTTTCAACGTATTGATCCATATCATATCAAAAGTACTATTTTTCAAATACATAAATTTCAAACAACATCTGTTGTTTACTTACGATGTTCAATCGCAATTTGTTTTGGTCGAATAGAAAATTGTCAAGAAGTATCAAGAATTTCATTTTTTTTTGCTTTGTTTTCATTATACAATCTTTTTTTTTGTTTTAGCGTTTATGTCCAGAAATTCGACGATCATTATCCCATCGATTAAATAATTCATCATCGATAGACTCAGCTCCATTTGATTATGTTGATGAAGATAGTGCTAGCGTTGTTGCATTAAAACGACGGCAAGCTTTTGAAAATGATGATGAACAACAAAGAAAAGTTTCAAGATTAATGACTGATTTAACGAGATCATTCGAATCCAATAATGATCATTATGAAATAAGACAAATACAACAACAATTTACTATTGAAATGCCGTTAGCACAATCAGCACATAAACGTAAACTACCTTATGGTAAATAATTTTATTTATTTTGTGGAACTTATATGATGTTTTCTCCGAAGAAAAATTAGCGAGTGTAATTTTTAAGTCGAGGTCTCACAGTTTCCTCTTCTTATAGTAACGAGGACCAAAGGCTAATAAGTATGTTTTTTTCTAGCAGCACAGGAGGAGATCAACAGTCATTCCACAATCGTTATATGATCAACATAAAAAGCGTGAACCGATCAAGTTGAAACTAAAAAAAATCAATTTTTATGAGCTTATTGACATGTATAATAGGGCTTTGAGATCTGCTGTGGATATACTAGATATTCACAACAGGCTTATTTGTCAGTTAAATCAATGGTTAGAATAATAATAATGCTAAATTAAGAAACATGGAATTAGAACATGAAAAACAACGAGTAAATAGCAACAAAGCAAACAAAAAATTGATTTCCAGTAAAACAAGATGTTAGTGCAACCACTGCGGGATTTAACTGTGAAATATAATGCAACATTTATTGCTAATCATTAGGACATTATTTTATTCTAATTATTTTCAGAGCACATTTTTTTCACCATATTTTTACTTAATCCTTTAGAAATGAAACGGGAAAATAGTTCATATATTATAATGAGATATGCGGATATGCTGTCTTCGATTCAACAACTTCGTAATAATCTAGAAGAGTGCAAATTTCTACTCTATATACATCAACACATTCGTTATTTTTGGTGTTTATGGGAAAGTTAAATAATTGTATTCCGATCAGAGATTCTATTCAAAAATAAGTTTAATAATTAGTCGAATATCCTGAAAGTTTTAACTGAAAAGCATGATCCTTTGTCGAGATATTGAATTTTCAAGTAGACTTGCTTCTTATGTAATGTTGGTGGGAAACAACTTTTTTTTGGAAATTCCAAATCTCAACAAAGATTGTATCTCACGTCGAAATTTAATTATTTTACTTTCCAGTGAATACTTAAAACTGAGTTGAAAGTTCAGTAAAATGATCATAGCTCGACTTCTTAAGCTGATGGACACGAACTCTTGTAAAATTTTTCTAATCTTACCGAAACCCCTTTGAGAGTTCAATTACAGTTCAAGCAGTAGATTTACAGTTGGAATAGTACTCTCATTAGTGTATTTTATAGAAATGTGAGTGCCACATTTCAGTTCAAAACGAACTGTGCTGTCAAGTGTTTTTTTTAAATATATCTATATCTGTATATATAGAAGCACTTTATGGTCGCACCTCATTAGCAACACAAGGTGCTGTTGAACGGTCAACTATAATTGCTGCTATATCAATTATATTTATTATTGGTATATCAGTTTCATTATTTGTTATTTATCGAACATGTTATATTGAATATGTTCAGCGAATCTATGGTACAGCATCATTTGCTGGTTTTGTTAATAGTCCGGAATCAATTTATGGAGGATTAAGAAGTACATCACAAGTCTGTCGTTATGATATGGGACGTCGATCAGAACAACGTTTTGATGAAAGTTTTTTTGTTAATAATGTTGAACCATTAGGAGCTTATCGAAGACAATATTAAAGAAATTTCTTATCGTTATTGAATGGATATGAAAAAATCAACCCAAATGACACTTCATGAAATAAAAAAAGTTTAATTAAATTTTAAAATAAATATTCTTTGATTCAATGATTGAAATCTAAATATAATTCTATCAGTCTTTTCATTCAAAAAATTTGTTTATATTTATTTTCATAGTAAATTTTATTTCATCATGAATGATTCCTATTGTTCTTTTTTAAGTAAATGTACATTCGATGCTTCTTCACCCTAAAAAAAATATTTTAAATCAAAATTTTACATAATAAGAAATATTTACTTTTTCACTTTGTTGTATTCGAAATTGAATTTGTTGACCAATTTCTAATTCTCGAAGACCATCTTTGAGTGATTTTGCATGAACAAACAAATCCTTTCCATTTAATGCTCGACGAACAAAACCAAATCCACGTTCTTTCTTTATAAGACATTCACGTTATTTGTATATTTTTAGTTAAAGTAAATAGCTTACATTCCATTGTTTTATTATGCCTGTTTCTTGTTCATTTAATTTTGTGTTTGAATATGAATCATTAATCATATCAAAATCCTTCTTCTGATTTTCTATTACAACAAAAAACTTTAAAATAATATAAATTGAAAAAAAAAATTCTATCCGACGAGTATTTTCTATTGAATCGGTTTTGTTAACAATACGAACATCTTTTGCTTCAGCACCACGATTACTTTGAACTTCAAGAAATTCAACTTCCATTCCTTCTTCAAGAGATTCTAAACCAGTATGACGAATCGAACGAGAATGCACAAATAAATCTGCACCATCGCTTTTTCTTGTAATAAAACCGAAACCACGAGTTTTACTATTCGGAA